ACAACAAGAGTGCTATCATTCTCGCTGAGAATGGTAAGACAGCGCGGTAAGCTACTCGTGCTCTAATGTGCGTTTCTTCTTTATTCACGACCAAGTGGAAGCAGGGAAATGTACGAGTGGTGTATTGTCCCACACAGGACATGCACGGGGACTTCTCACGAAGCCCCTCCAAGGTGCCTATTCCATGCGCATCGCGCTTTATTATGGGGCATCCTCCTATTTAGTTTAGTTTTAATCGTTCGCGTGGATCCATTAGGGACCGGCAGGAGTGTGTTGGCCGGTCTAGATATTTAGCGGACCCGGATAAGAAAAAGACGCACCGACGTAGAATTTTAAGGAAACGGGCATTCTCAGAATCCAGATTTCAGAGCACGCCAGAAAGATATTTTTCTTCTCAGCTGCCCAAATCAACAAATTAACTTGATATTAGCCAAGTGCTACATGTGCCTACCCAACAGCTACGCCAAGGCGGAACAGTCAACCAGACTTGGAACATAAGGTATTACACCCATACAAGGCTAATCCCTTGTAGGATTGCATCTGCGATGCACATGTCACTATCCAAATCTCATGAGAGGTCCCCGCACTTTAAATCATAATGTTCTCCTTGTCGACTGTTGTCGCGCCTTCTGTGACCCTTGTCAGGGGGCGAATGCAATACACGGCTCTTAGAGCTTATTTCGCGACTCGATCCTAGATAGGTTTGAGTTCGATCAATGACTGAGTCTCTCGTGAATAGTCATTTGAGACAGGGTTCTCATAACCGCTCTAGTCATACTAGGTTGATGATGATACTCGCTCTAGATATTTAGCCAGCGTGGAGTACTTCCACGCTACTAGATCCATGCTAGCAACTTCCACGCGTTCGTTTTAGGATCGTGGAGATACGTAGGATTACTACCGCAACCTACTCTATCACACTTTATAGTCTCCCGCGGGAGGCCAGATCTACGATCCCTTTGATGATGATCTCTCTCGTTGATTAGTTTTCATAGCTTTCTAATTCTCTCTCATAACTTTCATTCTCTCAAACTCAAAACACTCGAAAGATCTTTACACTAGCTTTTAGCGTAGTGCAAAAAGTCGTTATAAAGTCGCAAAAGTCGCGTTCGAAGTCGCGATAAAGTCGCGGTATAGTCGCGGTAAAGTCGTGAACGAATTTAAAGTCGCGATAAAAGTCGCGATAAAGTCGTTGTGAAATTGAGCGATTTTCTTAGTGAAGTCGTGCAAAAGTGTTGGAAGTCGCGAAAGTCGCGGTAATAGTCCCGATAAAGTCGCGGTAAAGTCGTTAACGATTTTAAAGTCGCGAAAGGGCGCGACTTTTGACGATTTTCGTGACTTTTAAGAAAACACTACTCTATGACGTTAGCTGGTGCCTTGCTGGCATGAAGCAGAGAAGCAATGAATTTCGGTGGTCGGAGTGCTGGAAAAAACCTTTGGATGGCTGCAGCGTCCGAAAACAGGTTGAGAAAATAGTTTCAATTTCATGTTTCAATGTGTGGATTTGAGCTAAAAACTGAAGTATCACGTTTTGGTAAAACTAAAAACGTGAAATTGAAACTCTAGCTGGCTTGCTTTGGGACTTGGTTACTTTCCGTACTGGTACTATCCAGGAGAAGCTACAGTGTAGTCTACTAGTCTGAAGTAGCTACTCAGGGAGCGGCAGTCCATGTTACAACCACACACATGTACTCGAGCTGTTGTTTTTGTGTTTTTGTCATTCTATGGCATACCGGAGTACTGAACCCACCTGGAGATAGCCAAATGGCAGAACTAATAGCTAGCTAGTAAGGCGCGGGTAGCTTTCATCGGTGGGGAGTTCCGAATGATTGAGATTCGATTCGATTCGATTCAATCAACCCACCTTCCACTGCTCGAGAGGCATTTCACTTGCAATTTTCCAGTGAGTTGAGCGGAACGGTTCAGAGTTCAGAGCACAAGTCAGGATTATATCACAGAGTAACTCACCCCGCTCTCGCCTAAGTAACTTTCTGTTTTCGTCCACCTGACTAAAACATGTTTTCGTCACCTTGACTAAAACTAACATTGACCATCCTTCCCAAATCGTGTTTTAGTCAACAAGTCTAAAACCTGTTTTAAACCTAAAGACCGAAACATGTTTTAGTCCGTAAGGCGAAAACAACTCGGCGCTCGTTCGCGTGCGTTATGCCAGCGAAATGGTCATAATTTCATTTGGATTTGGATTCACTCCACAAATCAACCCACATCCACAACAAGAACAACCTCCCACTCCATCCACAGCCAAATCTCCACATCTATCCCCTCTGCACTCCCCACAGCCCAAGAAGACACACAGAGAGTCTCCTTACCATCACTACTACTACTCCAGCACAGATCTCTAGCTGGAAAGAGCCCAAACACAAGGAACAAGCCTGTAAGTGCCCGGTGCAGTTTTTACACGTTTTCGTCTTACCGACCAATCATGTTTTCGTCGTATTGGTTAAAACATGTTTTCGTCGTGTGGGTTGAAACATGTTTTCGTCGTGTTGGTTAAAACATGTTTTGTCGTGTGGGGAAACATGTTTTCGTCGTGTGGGTTAAAACATGTTTTCGTCGTGTGGGTTAAAACATGTTTTCGTCGTGCTGACCAAATCTTGTTTTAGTCGTCCCTACCAAAACATTGATGCATGTGATTATCTTAATGTTGAGGAATATTTCTTGAGTCTCCTGATCCTCATTGTTGACTCATACTCTTTCTCTTTTCTCTTCTGTTCATTACTCTGACTGCCTATTGACATTATGTCTACTTCAAAGAAGGGCAAGGGTAGTCGTGGCAAGCAGAACAAGTCTCCACAGGCAAAGTCCAGTGAGAAGTCCGCCAGTCAGAAGGCTACCATTCTTGAAAAGAAAAGGAAGAATGTTATTGGTGCATCCTATGCCACTCATTGCTACATGATCGGAGATCAATTGATCCCATTCAAATGGTACTTTGATGATGTGCCAGCACCTCAGCTTAATCCTCCCGAAGAACCCATGCCCGAACTTGGTGCTGTTGACAATGGCGAGAGACAAGAGACAAAGTACACCCAGTTTCTGAACCACAGCAACGCTTCCTTCTATCACCGATATTGTTTATTGGAAATAGCAAACCCCAATACTTGTGCGGTGTTCGAGCAGAGATATGGACAACATGACTGTTGTCCTTGTACAGATCAGCGGCTTTGCTGTTTGCGTTCTCTTTTCCTTGGTAAGCGATCTTGTCTCTATAACTCGTGGAGTACTTGCAGCCAATGTAAACATTGTACCTTTCACCAACCTTCTCTGTTTTGATCACTTTGATTTGTGTATCCTCTTGCATGGCTGCTTCATTGATCCTCTTCACAAGACTTTTGTGGTAGTCAAAGGAGGGTTCATAGACATCTTTGGGAAGGATAAGTTCTCCACCAAGTGATTTGGAGCCAAAAAGCTGTGTCATACTTGAAGACTTGAAACAAATTGATCTTATCTTGCCCTTCAACATTGTCCAACAGAATCTGTGATGGTCTCCATGAGTGCTCCCCCTCCTGCAAATCCCCATGGAGGACTGCTGGTGGCAAGTTGGCCATAGGTTTGATTGAGTTGTTTTGTTTGTTGATGTTGCCTCAAAGCGTGTTGTGTGTGCTGCTGAAAAAACATGTTTTGGTCTCAGAAAGAAACAAGGTAAGCGAAACTTTGACAGAAAGAAAGAGGAGCCAAGCCAAATTTTCGTCTTTCTGACCTGTTTCTGTGTTTTGGTCATCTGGACTAAATCATGTTTTGGTAATTGAGAATAAAACGCGTAATAGTCATTAAGGTTAAAACAAGTTTTAGTAAATCGGAATAAAACAAGTTTTAGTAAATCGGAATAAAACGTGATTTAGTAAATCGGAATAAAACGTGTTTTAGTCATTAGGACCAAAACATCAGTTGGGTTTGCAAGCGGGGTGAGATACTCTGTGTTATAATCCTGATGAGTTTTTGTGTGTGTGACAATTCAATATTGTTCCCAGTGGTATCGTGGTACCGGTACCGGTATCCATAGCAGCCTTCATAAAGGATTAGTTTTGTCCATAGCTCCGGCTCGTTTTTTAAGGATTTTCAGGTGTTGCAGGTGCTGCATTCGGCACGTCAGATTTTGTTGTGAGTTCTTCGTTGCTCCAAGCGGCATAAGCATTCCCGCCTGGAAGGAACTGTACTAAATAAAGTTAGCTAGGCTAGCTAGTGGTGGGACTTGGAAAGAAGTATCAATTAGACATGGAGAACATCAGGCCCTGCAGTTTTACTTATTATTGCAACTGTTTTGGACAAGTGATCAGATTGTTCCTTCCAACTTTGGCTGGGTATTTCTTTAAAGTCCTTTTTAATCCATGCCTATCTTCAGCCAACGTCGCTTTGTTTTGAAGGCGAGGTCTTCATTCCTTCTGAAGACGTACTACTGGTAATGCCTTTAAATGGTTCAGAGATCAATAGAATACCCTTTTCACCTAGCTTGGTTGGAATCCTGTTTGCCCTATTAATGACTGTCTTAAGTGAAAAGAACTTCCAATGAATTATCAGTTTGGAATGTTTCAAGTCATTTGTTGGAAAAATCGATGATGATGTGAAAATGCAAGCTTCGGTATTAATAGATTTATTGGCCTGCATGGTACTATGGTACTCCTTATTACACTGCTCCTGTACCCTGAGTACATGTAAGCTACTAAGTACTACTGGCGTGCGTACGCAGCACCTGCCGGTACATGTACTATGCCATCCACGCAGCAGTGCCGTGAGATCAAGTACCGACCTTACCGGTACCATGGTACCAGTGATTCATCAATAGTACAGCTACCGGTATAGTACGTACTACCCTGTAGTAGTGGTCGTACTAGTAAATTTAAAAATGTACAGCGACATAGTGCCCTGTTCCTCCAGTCGTAGACACTTACCACGCTAGCACAGGCATCCGAACATCCGAACCACTGATCATGGGACCAAGAATCTCCCTGTCTCCCAAACATCTCATAATAACAAATTCTTCAGAGTGCCAGTCTTAAAGCAGTGACTCGGCACTCTGTGTAGGATCACTATGAATATTAATAGTCTATTGCGTACCTAAAGTATTTTAATGACCTATGGTAGTCACGCTCATGAAGAAATAGGTCCCAAGTCTCTGTAGTTGGGGAATTAAATTTTCTGTTGAGAGTTCAAGGAACAGAGGGGACCAACTACGAACCACAGAGAATGGGTAGAAAGCTGAAAAGGTTGTGCTTTTTCAGCTCTGTGGTTGAATCTGACACGATTACCCCCTTGAAAGCTTGACAGCTCTTGCAAGTTGCAAGCAGCAGCAACCCCACTAGCCAGCGCTTCAGCAATAACACAACCCACTTTTTGCGCCTTCTGCTTCTACTTGTGGCTGCTTTCTGAGCTCTTTCTGCCACCTCAGGGTCTGAAATCCCAACCAACGACAAAAGAGACCAAGAGCATACCATCCTGTAACCACCATTACATCGGGTTGTCACAATCTTCGCCGCTCTTGCCCTTCACTCCTAAGCAAAACAAATCTATAGTAATCTCAAGCAGCTCTCAAGCACGCCCACAGAATACCATTCTACAAATCGAAAAATAATGGTCGAGTATAGCGAAAATGTCGGGATTGCGTTTGCGGTAGTCTTTGCGGCCGGTCTCTCTACCGCTGTTGGGGCATCAGTGGTCTTTTTCCCTTCCTTGATTCAATATGCCAATCGGAGGACGTTGGCCGCTGGGCTGGGACTCTCGTCGGGGGTCATGGTCTATGTCAGCTTTGTGGAGATCTTCATAAAGTCGGTGGACTCGTTTGCATCGGCGGATTTCTTGGACCACCAGGCCTACCTGGCCGCAACGCTCTGTTTCTTTGCCGGCATCGTTCTCATGATTGTAAGTTCACTGCGTCGCCGCGGTGTCAACGCAGGTGCCGATCGTGATCATGAGCTCTGGAAGGTCACTCACACGCAATTCCTTGCCTTACGTCTTCTATCTGCTTCTATTTTCTAACCCACCGCAGTGTCTCAACTTGGTCATTCACGGCGTAGCGTCGCACAATCTGCTCACTTCCGGCGGAGGATCGGACGACGACGACGATGACAGTGATGACGAATTCATGGACGAGGATTCGATCCCCTCCAAACGCAGTGGCACGTCGAGGGCTCCCCTCAACAACAACAACAACGATGATGATGACCTGTCCCACACAGAGACCGCCGCTCTGATTGACTCGGGGACTCCCTGCCTCTGCTCTGGCGACCCTGTAGAGAAGTTGGAGCACATTCAGGAAATGGCCAAGCGATCCGCGGACATTCACGATCACAGCCACAGGAGTCATACCGACGGCGAAAATCAACAATCTCAAACCGACGTGATTGAATTCTCGGATGAAACGGGAGACGTTGAACAGGGTCTCGCGAACGACAATGACTCCAAGAGGAAACACAAGAATCCATCGTCTACCGCGTCCACTTCCTCCAAAGGTTCCCATAAAGAACCCTCCGGAAAGGACAAGAGAAAACTGACCATGATGTCCCTCAACACGGCGGTCGCCATTGCACTCCACAATTTCCCAGAGGGTTTGGCAACGTTTGTGGCGACTCTACAGGATCCTGCTGTAGGAGCGGTTCTGGCCGTCGCCATTGCCATTCACAACATCCCAGAGGGGCTTTGTGTGGCCATGCCCGTGTATTACGCCACGGGCAATCGCTGGAGAGCCTTTTCCTGGGGTCTTCTCAGCGGAATCTCGGAACCGATCGCAGCTTTCTTCGGCTGGCTTGTTCTCGCCTCCTGGATCAACGATATTGTCTATGCCGTCTTGTTCGGTATGGTCTCCGGAATGATGATTGTCATTAGTGTCAAGGAGCTCTTGCCCACGGCACATCGATACGATCCCGGTAAGTTCGTGCACGCACACGAGGAACGAAAAGAAAACCATGCACAGTCTACGATCAGTGTAACTCACGCTTGCTTTTTCTTCTCGTCTCAATTGTTCCGTGTGCTAACGCAGAGGACGCGGTCGTAACGAATTGCTTCATCACGGGGATGGCAATCATGGCACTCTCCTTGGTTCTGTTTGCCCAGTTGTAAAAGAATGAGAGTGCATGAATTTGAAATTGCAAATCACACTCTGGGATCAAGACCGAGGCTGACCGGGGTTGCCTTCCAATTTTTCCGGTGACAAAATGGGTTCTTTCTTCTCTCCGCTCCTCCTTCCTCCACAAGAACCACCAACGAACCACTAGACATGTAAGCCATAGATGGGGGGCTGAGTTCTACCTTCCGATGTAGTATTATTTAAAAGACAGATACACACTAAACACAACTCATGAAGACTTCTACCAAAACCATGGGTCTACCAAAGAGAGTTGGCAGGCACGACTAGTACCGCACCGTGTCTGGAGAGGAGGTTTTATCCAATCATCTCCTGCCAAGCTAGTCTTCCATAATCTGATGAACTGAAATCAGAAGGATTGCTGTGGCCTACAAGGGATCGTTAGAACCAGTGCCGCTGTGATCCATTTTGGTTCCACCCCTGTGTGCGTCCTTCTCGGTCGTCAAACCAGCATTTCGACAAGATCATCGTCGTCGCCCACATTGTCATCACCGGCACTCCATCGCAGCTGGTGCAGCCAGCTCTCTGGACGAAAGACTCTGGGGAGCCGCTGCCTCTGCCCTCCCGTCGGTGATCCGTTCGTCTACAATTTCCGTTCCCTTTCCGAAAGAACGACGTTTTGACATTTTCCCACTTTCTCGGCCGCTTTGATGTCTAGCGGCCTGAACGGACGATCACTGGTTTCCATGGCGTCTTGAACATGGCCTTGTTTGCTTGTCACCAGAGTGGGTTTTCTTCTTTTGACCCCCCATTCCGACCTCTCAGGCTGAAAAGAGTGCTTCAATCTCCCTCGCTCCACTGCAAAGCCGATGGGAAGACAGCAAACGTTCAAAGTTTATATCAAGGTGCTAGTAGTTATTACTACCTCTAGCTAGAGATAGATTGCAAGGGAACAGTGTCATTGTGCCCTCACAACCCAAAACACACGACGCTAACATCAGGAATCATCCCCAGGGAAGTGGGACTCGGATTTGTATTTTGGCAAGCTTTTGGCATCAACCTCAATGCAAGTTTATCTAGCCGGCACGCACCCTTCCTCGCTTTCGACGGCCACTGCTACTACTGGAATTCCCATTGGACGACGTTTCTTTCTTCTCTGCGGATTTCGCCCGCTTCTTTCCAACCCGAGTTGTGCGAGAATTGGACTGTCGACTTTTGCTGCTGGAGCTTTTAGCTGGGTTCTTTGCACCCTTTTCCTGGATATCTTCTGGTTTCTCAAGGGTCTCCCAGTATCGAAGGGCGTCCCGAAAGCCCAGGTTCACCACAATGTGATCCATCGAGAAGCCTGTCTTTCGACATCCTTTTCCGGGGCACGTAAAGTCTTTGCTCTTGCCCTTGCGAGTCTTTGCATTCGAGGATTGTGCTGTGTGTTGGCTTTCAAGACATTCGAGGCAAAACGTGTGACCACACTTGGTTCCAACAATCGGCGTCTGTGGATCATGCTTCTTTCCACTTTTGGACTGACTACCAGTACTTTCGGTCGAGAAGTCTCGCTGGCACAACATGCACTGGTAGAAGGGGTTGGCTGCCTTCGCATGCGTCCCAATCTTTTCGAAATGACGAATCTCCTTGACAGCTTGGCACAGGCTGTGGTTCGTTACCAAACCCCTTGGCAAAAATGCCTTGCACTCCCTTGAAACAGCGACACCGCTTTCTTTCGTCTCTTCGGTACAACCATATGCACACGGCAAGAACTTGCAGTCCTTGTGGCAGTCTTGTTTCTTGCGAGTATTGTACCACTCGCGCAGCGATTTGGCCGCAAACGAATGGCCACAGCGACCCACCTTGGGACAGAGAAGACTTTTCGAGTTGGGATCATACTTGTCTTCTTGGGATATTTGACAGAGGTCGTATTCATTTGAAGAAGGTTCCATTGTCGCTCGCTGAGAAGTAACAAATGGGCATGAGATGGCTTCTGAGGCAAACTTTCCACGCTGGCTCTGGAGCCTCCGCTCCGCCGTGGCAACTCCGTTCGAGATTGATTCGATTCGATTCGACTCAGTCGAGTCGAGTCACTCAGTACAGTGTCCGCAATAAGGATTTTCTACTGTTTACTCTTTTTAAAAAACTCTTTACTCTTTCTTGTTTGAAGTTGTTTGCATTTTGGTTGGTGTGTCCGCAATAAGACTTTACACTATTAATAAGTCTTAGATAAGGTAAATCTACTTTTTACATCATCTACCTTTTTTGAGGTAGATGAGGTAGATTTACCTTTTACTCTTTACTGTTTCACTTTTTGAAATAGTGAAACTTTTACAAGAAAAAGTGAAACTACATAATGTAAAGAGTAGAAAACCCTTATTGCGGACACTGTACTCGAGTCAGAGTCGAGTCCCTCGAGCAGTTCGCCTTTCATGATTTTACCAAAAAAATATTGCCCTCAACTGACTGAGGGTCTTTCACACTTTTATCGGTAGGTGTGTGTGTGTGTTTGTTGCAGCTGTTTTTGTCACATAAGGTACACTTTCCTCGTTAAGGATGGGGATTGATATTATGTGTTTTGTTGGACACAGTAGTTTGTACACATGGGTACCGGATATGCAGACTCGCTTATGTGTCCAGTCAAACACAATCCAGGTTTGGCCAAAGACATAAAGGACACTTTCCTCGTTAAGGATAGGGACTGATATTGTGTGTTCTGTTGGACACAGTAGTTGGCTAGTTACCGGTACTCGACGGCTCTACAGACTCCCTAGCTAGCTAGTGTGTCCAGTTGAACACAGTTGTAGGTTTGGCCAAAAGATTTTCATTAAGGAAGAGGGAATCAAATCTCTTTTTGACAGTTGAGGGCGTAAGCCTCCGGCTGCGTGTTCTTCCCGATTGGCAACTGTCAGCTCAAAGACAAGCCAGAACGACAACAGCTCCATGGAATAAACAAGCTTGCTGTGCTTGGTGTAAACATTGCCACCAATGAGCTCCACAGTACGAAGCAAAGCAAAGCAACCCGTTCGAGCTCCCATTCACCACCACCCACCAGCTTGCCACTGGCTCCAAAGAGTGACAATAGCATCCTTCCAATCCGCCACTGTGAACTGTCGATCTGGCCACCCCCTGCTCATTTGATGATTGTTTTACTTATTCCTTGAGTGAACAATGAGCAACCAACCGATACCCAATGTGCTGATGGACCGCTATAGGGGAATCGTCGAGGCAGCGCTCGATGAAAACAACATGATGTTATCACAAGATGAGATCGAAGGGGCCCTTGCCATCAAACAAGCCGTAAATAGATCGAATGAAGACGATACAAGCTCTGGACCTCATTTGATGAATAGCTATCTCGGACTATGATTACGCTCAAATGGCAATAGTGGTCGATCGAGGGAATGAACGAGATGCACTCAATCGATTTGAAAAGATGCAGTAGTTTCGTGAGGAATACAGGATATCCAACGGGACCAAATTAGGTGTATTCCTTCTGGAGGCATACATGAAGCAGCATCCCTGGCATCTTTTGCACATGGAGTATGATGCGGACAATGGGCATTCTCTCATGGCATTGTGTTGAGCAGCAACACGCCTGGGGAACCCCCCGTCCGAGTTTCCACGCCCCGCAGCGTGGAAACTTGAACCCTGATGGGTTCTCGCAACTATGACCCTAATCATGGTTGCCGAGAGGACCATCTCACAATTTGCAAAATTAATTCCCGCGCTCCTCACCTACAACTCAAGTACATCTCTACATCTCGCAGGTCATCACCTGCGTTCCGGAAATGGATACCCCACATGATGATGCACCACATCAGCTCCTCAATGCCTCTCGAACAAGATTACCCTTAAGGCAACGACGCCCGTCCAAGACCACATTTGGCAAGATCGACAGCGGCAACCATGAATCACTAAAGCCAGCGACCTAGCCAAGACCAGCCATTGAACTGCCGATCGCAAGAAGGTTGTCTCTCTCTCAGCTCACAATTCTTCATTCAGCCGATGCTGAAGGCAAGAACCTAGATTAGATTAACCTCTTGCGCCGGCATCAGGTTTCGTATCTTTTCGACCCTCACCATGGCCAGCTCTAATTTCTCGGACCTCGTCTCTCGTGCAGCGGCATGGGAGGTACATGCTCCTAACTACACTGATATCCTCACTTCTGTGGGCGGCGCCTCTAATGCGAATCGTGATGTTGCCTCTCGCGCTATGAGCCAATTTTGCCTTCGTTCGCCTGTCACCTTTGGCTTCGTTCTCCAGAATGACGAAACGAATATCTACATTGGACATTCACTCTACGCGTACCCCGTGAATCCTAGCCAGGTCTCTCCTTACGACAATCTCTACGCTATCGTGGTGGGGAACGACCTTCGAAGCGCTATCACGGTGGTCCTTCCTATGTCGGCGTTCGAGCGCACGGCTGACGTAACCTGCCACAACATGACAGTTATTGACGGAGGAACGATGTTCACCGCCGTGCCGGCTCCTGTGCTACACAGTGGCCCCCACGGCGGCGGTGTCCCGGATACTGATACCTTCCGGGTCCGCCGTGTGATGCCTCTTCCGTCCTATCTCTCTGAAGCCGTCCTTGTGGCCCGTCCCGAAGGACAGTACAGTCTTCCCCAGTTCCGTGCGGAAGTCCTGACCCCTGAGTTGACTCACGCGGATCCTGCACGACAGGCTGCCATCGCCCCTTTGGTCCACTGGTTCCGCGCCTGTTGCACTTTGGTCGCGGGAGGTCACACGTCCACTAGTAATGCTGCTGCTAACGTGGCCGCGCCCATCAGCGCTAACGCGCTCCAACGAAGCACCAACCGGGTACTCTCCCCCTACATGGCGGCGCTTGGCGCGGTAGGTCCGGGCCTGACCAACGCAACCTTCAACGCGGGGATCACGAACCTACGTGATACGCTGGAAGCCACCGTCGAACAACAACTCCAGTATGACCGTGAGAAGAGCAACAAAACCTTCACGGATAAATTCGGGGTCGCACTTGCCACTCGCGTCCACAACCTCTGCAACGTTGCCGATGACGCAAACCTCCCCGTCATTCACCGTCTGCTCGCGAAGTCCCCCAAAGGGAATGAACACGGAATCTTGCAAGCCCAACTCGACGAACGCACTCAGGCCTCGGCACTACCCATTAACCTCGCGAACAAACCCTTGGTCACTGGACACATTCTGGACCGTGTCTTCCGCAAGTACTTCGTGAACGGTCAAGGGACCACCTTGGGCGAAGGCCTCTCCCCCTTCTCGGTGGTATGCCAAGGCCATTCGGAAGCGAAGGCGGTCCAGGACCTGGCTGCTCGAGCGGAGTACGTTGAGAAGGGAGCCTCGGTCACCTTGGAAGATGCCATTGCCATCACTTCCACCGATGTCAAGTTTCCCACCGATGGTCGCATTGCGGAGGAAAAGCTCTATGGCTTCTCCATCATGATAGACGTCTTCCATGGAGGAAACCATCCCGTCTCACGCTCGGTGCGTGATGTGGCTCTCTCGCTGGGATCCTCCTACCTCCACACCATCCATGGCCTGCATGCTGACAACCGGAGTGTGGCGGTGGACTTGTGCGGTCGCATCCTTTTCGAGATCCAACAAGATTACTTCCTGTGGGTCAACGAAGCTATCCTAAATCCGGGCACTGCTGCCCCCAACTTTGGTACGCTGACTAGACTCGTTCAGTCCTCCCGTGCCTCGTCCCTCGCTGAGCTCCCTGCGCACTGGTACTCGTTCTTCAAGCCCGCTCCCGAGCCGCCGAGCAAGAAGCCTGCGGGAGCGAACCAACAGCGAGCGGGAGCACACCCAGTCACCAACGTCCACGGCGATGAGGACCTCTTGAAGCGTTTCCAGGACTCGGGATTCCGCTCCATCACGGAAATGACCAAGGACCATCAGTACACCATTCCCAAGCACGGTGGTCAGGACGTCTGCATGGCCTGGGCCCTGAAAGGCAGTTGCACCTCCGGATGCAAGCGCGCTGCCACCCACAAGCGCTACTCGGCGGCTACGGTGCAGAAGCTCCACACTCTCCTCACGGACTGTGGAGTTGCTGACCCGCAGCCCTGAGTCTCCACGCCTGGACTCGCCACCCGTATTGGAGCTCCCGCTCCTATCTCGGTGGCGTCCATGCCTCGCAAGCAGTTTGGTCTCCGCCCTTTTGATCGCGATGTCTCTCCTGTGAAACCTCCAAGGACTAACAGGAGCACTCCTGCTCGCAAACCACCTTCGCACGAAATTTCTACCACTTCAATTCACGCCCTCTCACACGCAGCCTCGCTGTCAATGTCTACATCATCAAAGCGGTCGGCTGGCCTACTGCCCGGATCACCTAAGAAACGCCGACCGCCTTCATCCTCTACATCAAACACCACTAAAACTACTAGCCCTGCCGTTGATACCAGATCAATCCGAAATGACAGACTAGGTACGTTAGGCCGCTCTCTACCGGAGGGACTAAAGTAGCGACTAAATGCGACGGGATACAGCTTACAATTCAGCTTTACAGCTTTACAATTAGCAGGCTTATTCTAGAAAATAAAGAGAGAGATTGATGTCACTCTTGCAACAAGCTCATGGACTTTGGATCGAAAGTATGGACAACCACAGCAAGGAGACCTCTCAGGGATGTGCTGGTTAGTTCAGGCATGGGTCACTGGACATAAAGTTTAATCGAATCTCTTTAATGATCTTGCTTGCATCGACACATACATGGAAACATTCTCCCCAGGGAACTTGGTGATGTCCAAGTGAAGTACTTGGCTTTGAGGGTTTCAATCTTACTGAAGGAAGGTCTGTATATTTTCTGCAGGAGAGCCAAGAGAAGTTGGGGCCATTGTGTTTGGCTCGAGGAACAATGATTTCAATTCTTCCTGAAGTGCATCAGTACAAGAGTTCAAGACGCCTTTCCCGACCAGGCAAGTTGGTTGATCATACTGGCAAACAGGTGTTGCTGAGATCCCATTGGATCGATGAGTCTGACCCCATTGACTGTGAGGCCTGATGC